AGCCACTCATACCAGATTGGTCAATGGTTAGAGGCCAGACAAACTCAGCCTCCTGGTCCTCCAGGTTGGGGGTTGGAATGGGGGTGGCTCCTCATTTCACAAAACGGGCTCTGTAGTCCAGTGCCAAAACCCGCTGCCTTGCGGTAAGGTTTTTGAACCAAAGGCTTTGGTTGAGAACCCTAATCGTTCTCCTGTCTAGGCCTGGGCAACCTGACAGTATTCTGCCCACGCAATACAATGAACCTTTCCTACAACAATTTCTTGATGCTCTGGCCGTCGCAGAGGATAATAAACGGCGCCCTATCTGCTGCATCGAGCAGGGTGGATAGGGGTTTGGATGCTACTGCTCAGGCCTTCCCGTCTTCTTATACCCCTTCTTGCGCTTCTGCATCCTTATTGTCCCGCTCCAACTTTACTTATATCCCCCCCATTTTCAATCCCCCAATTCTTGGCCCTCCCCCAGCTTACTTCAATAGTCGCTTGTCTTCTAATTTCAAATCACACACAATCGCAGGGCCTCGCTCCAATCCAGTCGATAAGTCCATGTTCAACCAAGCGGACAACGTCAGTTCATCCGTTTCCCTTTGGAGTCCTCGTGTCTCGCTAAGATTGGCATGCCTCAACGTGCGCACTTTGCTACAGATTGGCCAACAGGCAGCACTTGCCCGCACACTAGAGACCCTATCGATCGATATTTGCTGTTTATCAGAAACCCGCCTGCAAGATTCGAGCTCCGTGCTTACCCTGAGATCCCCCACATGCGACACTGGCGGCACATTCTCATTGCGCCTATCTGGCGATGATGCAGCTTCAAATGCCGGTCAAGCCGGCGTCGGCATTGTTTTGAGTCCCCGGGCTGAAGCTGCCCTGCTTGATTGGATCCCAGTAAACAGTAGGATGTGCGCCGTTAGATTAGCTGGTTCGTTCCGTGCTTCGAAGTCGCGCGGGGACAAACGGTGCCTGTTTGTCATTGCGGCCTACGCCCCTACAAACTGTAGTACTGATTCGGTAAAAGATGATTTCTACCAGCAACTTCACGAGCTCCTTCGTTACAGAAGAAGCACGGATACTGTGGTGCTGGCTGGCGATCTAAACGCCCAAGTCGGAAAATTGTCCTCTGATGAGCTTCATCTGGGCGGCCAACATGGTGTAGGCTCCCGTAATGATAATGGTGAGCGATTGCTCCAGCTGTGTGAAGATGCTCGCCTGTTTCTCGCGAGCACTAATTTTCGACACAGCACCCGCAGAAGTGTGACTTGGCGGCCACCAGCCTCGGGCCAGTCATGGACGCAAATCGATCATATCGCGATCACTTACCGCTGGAGAGGCTGTGTCCAAAACTGTCGCTCGATTTGGAGCACGAGCGTGGACTTTGACCACGCACTTGTATGTGCCGACCTCCTGGTGCGTTTCGGTGGACGTCCGCAACGTCGATGTGAACGGATTGACACTAGCCAGCTGGCGAAGCCAGATGTTCTGAATGTGTACCAAGATGCGCTGACATCTGGGCTGAGTAAGCGCCCACTAAACACCATTGAAGATCACTGGTCGCACACTCGTCAAGCGTTGCTATTAGCAGGCATGTCTTCATGTGGCAAAACAAATTGCCAAACCGGACATTGGGTCTCTACACAGTCTCTGGAACTTATGGATGCTCGCCGACGTATTCCGGCTGGAAGCGAATACAATGAATCTCGCAAAAATCTCAGGGCGAAACTACGTGCTAGCCTAAAGAAGGACCGCGAAACCTGGTGGTCTCATCGTGCATCTGAGATGGAAACAGCCGCTGCCATTGGTAATCATCGTAAGTTATACCGTCTGATACGGGCAACAGGCAGCAGGAGACCTGGTGTTAGCGAGACCATACGCGACGAGAGTGGGCAGATGATCCACAGCCTGTCAAAACGCTTGGAGCGTTGGGCTGAACACTTTGCTATGCAATTTAACCAACCTGAGTTATCACTTTCTTCGGGCACTGAACGCCCTTCTCCTTGGGCCGTCTCCCTGGATCCGCCCTCACGCGCTGAAGTCGAACGTGAGATCAGGCTGTTGAAATTGCATAAGGCCGCAGGGGCAGATACTATTCCTCCAGCCCTCTTCAAGTTCGGTGGACCTGCTCTAATAGGTGATCTACACGAGTTGCTAGTAAAACTTTGGGAGCAAGAGACAGTCCCGACAGACTGGAACCGCTCCGTCCTTGTCCCAATTTTCAAGGGAGGCTCCCGTTTGGTATGTGGTAATCATAGAGGGATCAGTCTGATTTCGATTGCCTCTAAATTGCTTGCCTCTCTCATTCTCCACAGACTGACTGGCACTCGTGAAAGCCAAATTCGTGAAGAGCAAGCCGGATTTCGTCGAGGTCGGGGCTGTATCGACCACATCTTCACATTGCGTCAAGTGTTGGAGCACCGCCATGTTTATTGGCGACCCACCGTTGTCGTGTTTCTTGACATAAAAGGTGCCTTCGACTCAGTCGATCGATGTGCCCTTTGGGACTGTCTGTTGAGGAAAGGTGTGCCTGATAAATATGTAAACATTATCAAAGCGCTGTACGCACATAGTTCGGGCAGGGTGAGGGTTTATGGCAAACTCTCGCCACCCTTCAGTATCACCAGCGGTGTGAGACAAGGATGCCCGCTGTCACCTTTCCTCTTCAACTTCGCTATTGATGAAGTCATGGAAACAGCGTTCGCTGGACACGACTTAGAAGGTGTGGAGCTACTCCCTGGTGAGCGACTTCTTGACTTGGAGTATGCAGACGATATTGCCCTAATCTGTGACGGCTCCCAAACATGCCAAACAGCACTGAACCGATTAGCACTGGCTGTCAGTCGTTTTGGGCTATGCTTTGCTCCATCAAAATGCAAAGTACTTCTCCAAGATTGGCAGGGACCCAATCCTGCGCTAACGCTTGGTGGTGATCAGCTAGAAGTCGTTCAGGAATTCAAGTACCTGGGCAGCTATATTAGCACCCGTGGGATTGAAGATGAGGTTACGAACCGTATAGCAAAAGCTCGAGGTGCTTTTTCCAATCTCCGCCACCTGTGGCGCAGACGCGACATTACTCTCGCCCTCAAGGGCAGAGTTTACAACGCAGCCGTCCGTTCAACTCTCCTATATGGCTGTGAAACCTGGCCCATCAGGTCGACAGACATGAAGAGACTCGTCACGTTCGATCATCGCTGCCTTCGCAGCTTAGCTCATGTCTGGTGGGAACACCACGTGAGCAATGAGCGTGTTCGACGTCGCGTATTTGGTGCAGGAAGAGCGAGTGAACCGCTCAGCACGATTATATCACGCACCAGGCTCCGATGGCTGGGCCACGTCTTGCGCATGCCAGCACACCGACTCCCACGACGTGCATTGTTTGCGCGTTGTGGGTGCGGTTGGAAGAGGAGGAGGGGAGGCCAAGTGATGACTTGGTCGCGAGAAATGAAAACCCTCACTTCGAAGTTGGTGTCGGTTGGTGCATCCCGACTGCCTGGCTGGGGTCCTAAGGACGGTGAACACGTTTGGCTGGACACACTTGCTGATATGGCTAGGAGCCGGCCCCAATGGCGTTTGTGTTGTGAGTTCCTTTGTCCATCCCCCTCCTGTTTAGCATCCCCCTCCAATCACGATCTCAATCGTTAGGCATAATATGACTTTCTTTTACGGCAGCCAGCTGTTAGCTCTCCGGAACGATGTGCATCCGTTACTGGGGACTCAGCGGGCGTGCCACTGTTTGTTTTTTCTTTTCTTGCCTTTTGTATTGCGGCACAATAGCTGAGGTGTTTTCCACCTCCAGCTAACGTGTAATGATGATGATGATGATGATGTTACCTGTTTTTATGAGCTACAACTAACCTCGGATTTGTTATACATTCGAGGTGCTGTTGACAAAATGTTCGTGCGTGTATTCCGTCGTGATGTGAGAGGTAAGTACAGTCTCGGGGCGCTGGCGTAACGCTTGAGTAAGATCAAGTGGATTCGAGTGCCTGAGTGTGGGCCAATTGTCGAATAACCGTCGCTACTGCCCACATGCTATTCTGTCTTAACCTTTTGAATCAAGGTTGATGGATGGCGGGTGCATGCGCTGGTGTCTTTTAGATGTTCACAGTCGCGAAAACGAACGTCATCATATGTGTGGCTATCTGACGTATCATTTATGACAAGGCGTGAGGAATGATGGAAACTTATTTCTGTTTAAGACATTCCATTCACAAGCGCGATAGCTGTGACAGCCGGCTAGCCGTGATGAGTTGTGTTTCCCAAAAGGTTTCATTCCCAAGTAGTAGGATTTCGGATAAATCGTGTGGCTTCACTGCCAGTGATTGGAGCTATTTCCTTTAACTGAGTCGGCAGGTGGCCGAAAAAATTGCATGCCTGGTTTGCAATCCTTAGGTCACCGGTTCTAATCTGCGTAGTGGCTGGCGTCCTCGCGGTATACTCAGTCCACGCGTGACCGGTGATGGTGGCGTGGCAGCGAAGCGTCGGTACAGTGTGCTGAAGTACTGCTGATGACTTTTTCTAATGACCTCTAACTAACTCCATAAGCATTTGCTTTTTCCGGTGTTACAAGCGTTAGTGCTGTCCTTCGCTTAAACAATATTCAGTTCAATTTTCTCGATTTGAATTCTTTAATCTTTCTTATTTCACGTCACTGGAGTAGTGGGGACTGTTAACGCCGTGCACGTGGGCATTGACGGGTTGACCGGGGTGTAGATCGGATGCTTAATTTCAAATTCAAAAAGAATTCAGCGCATTTGAACCATTCCCGGTTCAACGAGGTACTCAGGCAGAAAAAGACAAGGGATTCTCTTCCCGTTCAAATCACCTTTGGACTTGAATCCTGCTCATTCGCCTAGAGCATGATTTCACGTACCAGTTGCTACTGTCACAGAACATCGCATCTAGCAGTTCAATTGACCGAGAAATGCTGTTTCAATGATATGAGACATCTCTTCATAAAAAAGCGCTATTCTCATAGATGACTCTTCAGAATATTCCAACGTGCTCACCTGTCATTACTTTCGGACCCGAGAACGAAGCGTCATCGACTCCATCCAAATAGATTCCACAATAAACTTCTGGAGCTCTTTTGTATTTTGAATGAAGCAACCGATACCAACGATAAACCTAAAATATAAGTACAAGAGGAACAGCCTACTTTTTGAAAAGAGCAGGATCGCAGGTCAAGCATTATAAATCCCACTGGTTCTTTTAAAGGGGACTGGCTGTGTACTGCAAAGAATTGCATCTTCAAAGCAGTGCGTTGCAGCCGATGTTGTCTCAAGCTGGAACGATCTAGCTGCCAAGCAAGTTCCTGCTCCAACTGAGGCTGGATGCTGTGAGGGACTGGGTCAGTTGAGAGCATTTCATTGTTGAACCGTGCTTCGCAGACTAAGTAGTGTGATAGTCGTTCGGGGAAATTTCGCCCTAACGTGGGTAAAGATGGAATCATCTGATAAGCTAAGAAGTAGCTATACCCAATCTCTGATAGAAAACCTGATAAAGCTCCAGAAGACTCACCGGATATTAGAGCAGTGACCACTAAGCACTGTGGTTGAATTAACATGGGAGAGGTACGGCGGATAATCTTTCTGAAGTAAAAAGGGTAACAGTTTCATGGTCTAACCAAGGATACAAAATGTGCATATAAAGGGACGTTTTATCAAGTTGTTGCAGGCAGTTAGAAAACGACATGTTTTCCTAGGTTTGATCGGTGCAGGCATAACAGATGGGTCATGTCACATTGTTCCCAGAATCACGAGTTAGCTCAGCGTATTTGTCTGCAACTGGAAAAAATTAACTGCAAAATTGCAACAGAATGTCACCATCAAAAAAGATATTCTAAAAACAGATTGGCGAGTATTAGTCTTGGTGTTTGATCAAGTAACTGGCTTTCCGTTGCAATTCCGACCTTGCGAAGGAGGCCTCAAAAGCGTAAAATGGTTGAAGTCGACTGGAGTTCAAGTGAATACGCAACAAATGTAGAGACTTTTAGGGCATAAGCAATAGTGCACACCCATGGGAGCCATCAGGATTCGAACCCATAATCATGCCGGGCAGCAGCTTCAGCCACTGGGCCACAGGAGGACAGCGTCGGACCGTTCTTGTTTACAAGCTAACTGCGATATAGCGGATCTCATGCTACACTGCCATGCAAGTTAAGAAAGTTGCAGAGGACAGGGTTGGCATAAGCTGCCGAGTGGCGGTGCCAGCAGTTGGTTGTCTTGGGTTCAAATCCCGATGGATGCGCACTACTGATGATGCTCAGAAGGTTGCAAATGCAGCCTAGCGTTTTTCCGGGTATGTGGAGGACTATCTAATCTTGAAACTGCTGTGACCAACTCTCAAATAATTACATCAAAAATCCTCTACTCATGGGCAGGTGTGCACTCTTGCTTTGATAAAGGTACACATTGAAAGTAGGGTTCAGTTCATGCCGGAGTGCTACACGCTAGTTTAATGAAGGTGTAATTGTTGCGTCGTGGAAGTGTATCGACCGCAACAAAAATGAAAGCATATCCAACCTACTATATACTATTATACCAAAAAGGTACGTTTCGAAAAATTAGCGTTAGATTAGTTAAGTATTCCCTCCTATCTGTGTTCTCGAGTCCGTTAGTGCAATTTACCCCTAAATATTATTGAAGTTAAGAAAAATGAAAAAAGTATGGCAATCATTTAGAAGTTACGAACCAAAAGAAAAACAACCAGCCTGGTAGTCTCTTGATGTGTTGCTTATCAAGTATACGGCCAACATCGTAGACCATAACCAAGAAGGTAAATTGCATTAGGCTAAACACCACGCTTTTTAACACAGTATCATCTAACTAGCAAATTTGCAATCAAGTGTTTTTTGGTGAATAAAGAACGAACCACCTTGTTGCTGGACAGCCGACGCCACAGTAATTCTCTCCGCTGCACTTGTCCAGCTAAAAACTTAAAGCCACAAGCACCAACAAAAGCAGATCAAATCAAAAGGAATAAAACTACAGATTAACCAAACTCGGAGCCAAGTTTGCAACAATGTATGAGAAGTACCCTGAATGGTACCAAACGAAACATTTAGCAGTGTTTATTTCAAACAGATGTGCCTGGTCCATACAAGGCAAGTGAAGGCAAAATAAGCACTAAACACCCGGGGTGGGAATATTTTCAGCATTTCACATTCAATGAGAATGGACGAATACATGAAAATACGAAATTAAATAAAGTGTCTATGGTGGCAAAAGTGTACGCATACTACTTGACCAAACAAATGTGCATCACACTGATGATTTTCGCTGGGTCACCAAGTAAATGTGACAAGTGCAGTAAGATGAAATAAAGAAAAGACGCTATGCGACAAACTAAGACACTAAAGTTAGAGTGTAGGAAAAACTGATAGCGTATCAGATAGATTAACATGTGGTGGTGTGTAGACAGAATCTGACAATAAAATTGACAAGTGCCTCGCTTGACAATCCACCGCAGCCAGAAATAAATTTGTCGACCACAATCTATAATTCGAGTGGAGTACAGGGAAACGGTAGAGCGGCAGAATGCATGCAATCACAAATTCTAAAAATCAAGCCAGGGGACACCGAACGCATCAATGGAACAACGGTGTATAACGGGTAAAAAAGCAATGCTTCACAAGTCCCGTGGGATGGAAATTATTGCGAAAATTAAATTGTATAACAAAGTGAAAAGTGATTTGGTGGATTCACCATAGACTTATGTGGAATAGCGGATGTTCGCTTATACATCCATAAATCGATTGATTGGGAGTATGGCAAGACATCGTTTGATTGCGTTTTGTAGCCTCTGGCTAACAAGCTTCAAAATGAAATGCAAATGTGACAACGCATCGTCAACTCGTTTTTAAATATCGTCAGATTGGGAGCAGAGACGACATAATTAGGGAGGGCGTTCACAACCTGACGCACGCGGAGAGAAAAACGATTTCTACGACATTCAAGCTTGCTGTACTGTATTGTGAATTCCAGATGACTTCTTTGGTTAGTGTTGTAGTTCAATTCCAGCAGCGGACGGCAAATGTGGTTTGGGTTCTTCAGAATCTGGTAAACCATTATGAGATCCCCCGCAAAAGCCGATATCGACTGCTGTACATTCTTAGAGATTTCAGTTTAACCTGATAGGGCCGATGAAAGAGACCCCTGACGTTCTCGGTTGTCCTTCGCTGAAAGTCTCGAAAGCAACGAGATTCTGTTTCTGCCACGACTGTCAGGCCTGGGTAGCATATTCCAGGTGCGATCGCACGGGGAAAGATTGAGGATTCAAACCGACGGAATACTCTGTGAAGAAGGCCGAAGTGTTGATTGCCAGTTCTTACCGCGTTCTCTGTTTGTTTTGAACACCCGAGATCTTCCTGTACACCCAGGTCACGCTACTGAGAGGTCTTCTGCAAGGTGTGGTCTCCAAGCTTGTAAACACTCACCGGCTGGTGACGCAAATGAATCACCTTGCAGTTAGCTATGTTCAACTGAAGCAGGTTCCTCTTTGCTTATTCATAAATGCAATCTAGGTCAGGTTAGAGTAGATCGTGATATTCAGTGTTACTAATCGCCCACCGTATCTTGGCGTCATTGGCTACATGCATAAAAGCCAAATCTAAGGGATTGTTTGTTTATAGCAAAAATGTAGCTTATGTTTATTTCGCAGATGTGTCTTTGAGCACCCGACAGGTAGCCCGGCATAACAGCAACATTGTCAAATGCTTGTTCACAGCAGTTACCTATGAATTCCATGTTTCCCTGTTCTATCAAAACCAGTCCATAAATCTCCTTTGCACCACTTGCTGTTGGTCTCAGTGATGCTGAGAAACGACTCCTCAACCTCCAGTTCATTTTCATCCAAATTCATGTGGTGCAACACCTCACTCATCAGATTTTTGTGATGTATCGGGAGTGCCATTAAGCATACTTGCTTTCCTTGACGTGATTTATGATTTTCTTGCTCGCTTGCTTTAGCAAAATGTTCGCAAATAGGAACTCCTGCTTTTCATTCCCAGCTGAAACGCCACTAAATGGTCACAAAGAATAGCATCATATCTGGCCAACAAATACAGCAATTCTAAAAAATCCCCTAATGTTTCTGGTTTCATGTATCATCCTAGATCTCTTCTGGGTGACTTCGCGGTACTATGTTCTGCTTTGCAAAAACCGACGATATCCAGTAATGTAGTAGGAATTTCACACCACCTCTTTGTTTTCTGTTCCATAAATGCTTGCTTCATTTTGCCAATTGCCTTTTCTTCAACTAGCCGTACCATTATCTCTTTCCAATTGAGGAACGCCGGTCCGTAGCCTTAAGAATCACAAGCATGACTTATACTCCGGTCGCAGGTTCCAGACAGTGTAGGGGACCGACCAACCATCGCAGTATCCCTAGCCGACGTGTGACCGATAGTGGTTGCGCGGCAGCGAAGCGTCGGTACTGCGTACCAGCCTGCTGTCTTCTTCATCTTCCATTTGAAAAGTGTCTGAGCATACAATTTACTAGATTCGTGTTCATATACATTCGGATTAATTTCCATCAGTTCTTGAAACCTCATCAATCGGAAAAAAGACTGTCCCGTTGAAAACGGTCTGCAATCGAAGCAAAACAGGTCGACATTGGAAGAGGAATACACTATCCATGTTTGCAATTGTTGCTCTCTGTTCCGTAAATCAAGAAACAGTTCGTTGTGGCTTCTTAGGTTCACTATTATGTTAGTTCCAGGTCACTCGGCTCCTTTTAATTAGTGATCGAGGTGCTGGACAGCAGTAGATACAAGCCGGACAACCATAGTGCGAATTTCATGGTTGATCTTAACAGGCCACAGAACCTAATCCGTAAAACCGATTGATGTACGTGTTATCGTGCAAAGTAGCGATTGCCTTTCGGTTCTATGAATTCGCGCGAAGCCGCTTATTAAGCCATAAAACACTGTAATTTGTAGCTGTTATACATCGCCTTATGAGCGACAACGCATTACATTCACGAGTAACTGCAATGGGGAGTGATGTGTAAAGGGGTAGATGTGCGTAAAGACCAGAAGAAACAGAAGAAAGGCGAGTGTGACAGATGGCGCAAATGTATTTTTGCTTATCCAGAGTAATGTTGTAATATTGGCTTGTCAGTAAATTGTGACCTTTATAGTTTGTACCGAATAATAAACCGTGCTGAAATTGCCGCCCGGAGCGTACAGCTCCCAGCCTCCTTGCTACGTCTCTGTTTCTAACCTTGTAAAGCGTTTCGGCAACGTGTGTTGATCAAGACTGGTTCTGAACCAAAAAGCACCCAGCTATTTGACAGTTGAGTTGGTGGCATACTGTTAGTTAAGAAGTAGCATCCAACACAGCTCGTAACCTATCGGCCCACAGAAAAGAGAATCTTATATTGCAAAATACCAAATAAAAGACCGGAACAATTAACATAGCACAACTCATCCAGGTCTATTTGAAGAGTAGATATTTCGACAGCAACTCGCTAGGATAAAAGACTTCACTAGGGTGAAGCAATAGGTAGTGACTTTAGTTAGTCGCGAGTCACATCCGCCACGTCTGTGTTGTTAAACGGGCATTTGTGGTGTTTTAAAGGAAGAACAATTGTCAGATGAAAAATCACCAAGTCCTGGAAAACTGTCGTCGAGTTATTTGCTGAGATGAAGTAACTACGATCCACTCAGCTGGCACCACGAGGTTATTTGGCGAGCCAGTCCGTCGCTGCCGTTGGAGCAATATATTTCAAAGCGATATGGTCAATACAGCTGCATCTACTAAAGTTGAATCACATAGGAGATTTTCAATATATAAAGAAAATAGAGGGGAGATTGTTGTTCGCTGTAAAACATCATGAT